ATCCTGCAAATCTGGGCACACAGATTGACGGTGCTTGATATGAAAAGATCAATTGATCAACCAAAAAGGATCTGCTTCTCGGAAGCTGCTTACGTAAGTACACATCTACAACTAACGCATTTTTTAAAACAATGTACTATATGACACACAACCTCTTCTTTGCAGATGACGCTTGAAAATGTTGAAATAAAAGCAAGGAATATGGATATAGGTGACTTCTGTGCAAATATTGACTACCAGTTGAGGGGGACTGCAATTGATATCACAGATGCAAGTCTTGTAAGTAAAACAATATATATATATATATATATATATATATATATATATATATATATATATATATATATATATATATATATATATATATATATGAATTTTAAGATTATTGAATTTATGTATGTATTTGACACAATTTGTTAAATACCTTTTAATTATTCATTTCAGGTTTTCTTTACAATCTTGAGGCGCAATCACTACTACTTGATGTGCTTTAACATCCCCAAGTCAAAACTTCAGATCATTGATAACAAGCTAATGCCCAAGGGAATACCAAATACGAACAGATATGAGAACTGCCCGGCTAAGTTGGTAAGATAAACTAATACTCCTATTAAATATCTATACACTGTAGTTTAATATTTACATTACTTAAATTAATTAAACACTGCAATTACTATAATGTGCAGAAAACAGTTTTCTACAAATACCTCCAATCGAAGAAAAACACCCTTGCAAGAAAAGTGAAGAATATCGAAGCTGAGTGCATTCACATGCCATGGCAAAATGAAGAGAACACAACAGATTGTGGTGTGTATTGCATGCGCCACATGGAAACTTACAAAGGGACTGCAGTAGACAAATGGGAAACAGGTTTCGTAGGGGGTGATAGTGATGTAAGTAATAATCAACTTTGTTCTACATTACACATGTTATCTCTTGTTTCTTCTAATTTTAACATGTATCTTTTGTTTACTGTAGGCTGCTTTCATTACATCGCTTAGAGCAAAATATGCAGCAAACATCATCATGTGAAAGAAAAACGAATACATGGAAACAGTCATGCAATCAGCAAGGGACAACTACAAGAAAGAGAAGTGAAACTACTAACCACAATCTGTAAAAATCAGTTCTGCTAATCCAAACACATGGTTACTTGTATTTTTGGTTCAATTTCTAGAAGTTTCAGTTGATAAACAATTATCAAAAATTTGTATATGCTCCTTTTGGTAATCCAATCTAATGTTTACTTGTATTCTATATTTTTCATATTCCCCAATATAGTTTTGTGCATAATCAATGCATATACTACAAAAACTGTGAACTATCAAAAATTGTACATAATCATATGAAGTAATACACATAACCCATATAATGAATACACACAAACTTTCAAACAGTGCACATACTACTAAAAAAAGTCTAACAAATATTTTGTTTCTGCTAATATATATAATCAAACATCCTACTGAATATAAACATGTACATAATACACATATGACCAAGCATATCATTTCCCTATACTGATAACTGCAAATCTAAAAAAGAAATGTACATAAATAAATAAAAGTAATTAACACAAATAAAAATGTACATAATCATATGAAGTAATACACATACAGTATATAAGGAATACACATAAAGTATATAATTAATACACATAAACTTTTAAAACAGCACATATCATAATAAAAGTCTATTTTATTACTGCTGAGTTATGTGATTTAACATCGTTCTGTACGTGATACATATTACTACGATGATTAACACTAACATGTGCTTTAATTATCATCCATGCTTGACATTGTGCTAACGTGACAAAAACTAGAACCTCCGGAACTTGGGTGCACAAGATATCCATCGCCTGCAATATTTAAAATATCACCCTCAACTTGAGACTGAACAGCAGATTTTATTTTGGAAGCAACCATATTTGCAAGATGCTTCCGTCCCCTTGCTTGTTATATTTCTTTGAAATAACACTGCTCACCCTCCTATTCCGCAACCCTTTCATCCGCCTAGTAGATGGATCCTTTATAACACCACTTGTCGATCCTATGTCACAATCTTCAAATAAACTGCCACCACATTCAGCTTCAAGTCTTCTCTTTGCATCTGCAATTGCTTCTTCACAAATCTTCCGTCCTTCGATATTTTCCTGACTATAAACAGCAAGCCTCTGAAATTTCCTAATGATTTCTAATAACCAAACAGAAGATGCACCATTACCACTATCAACTCTAGACATTATATCAACATTATCAACTTCAAAAAATTTTTTAGTCCACCTCTTCAAAATATACTTCTCGGGTTCTTCAGAAACACAATGCACATTTAGAATGCGTAAACAATGACAGCACAAAATCCCCAATTCAGTAAACAACTTGCAACTACATCCAATGTCCATTTGTCTACTATTAAACACCACTTCATGCCTAATAATATCAACATCAGGCCTCCAGACATGATACTTATACACACCATCTTCCAACATCACACACTCTTGATAGCATGATCCACCTTTCAAAAATTGTTCTTCAAACAAATAGTATATCTCAATTGTATAAATTTCCCTAGCATGCAACAGAATCTTAACATTATCCATCATCATTGTGGGTACACCTTGTGAACACCGAACATCTTCCCAATTCTCTCTACTTCTCCACTCTGATATGACCCCAACAAAAGAGTTATAAAAATCACACAAACCAGATGTCTTGGACAACCTTCTAGAAATAGAGTGATTGGTGGTCTCACTCCTTTGAGAAGATAAAATCTCACCCGAAAAATAATCTTTATTAAAAGCAGGACACCATTTTTCTCTACACCCATACAACTTTTCAATCCAGTGATTATTGTGACATTTATATGTTGTAACCATCCTGAAATAACATGCCATGATTATTGTGACATTTATATGTTGTAACCATCCTGAAATAACATGCCATAGATATATTAAAGTAAACCTACAAGCATGTCAGTATATAACATACAGAACAGACTAATGTACATAATCTTATACATGAATACACATAAACTATCAAACAGATACACATAAACTTGATCCAGAAAAATAATTCCGTATTCTGTATAATATAATCTACAACTATTCATTCAATGATAATCCATGTGTAAACTAATAATAAAAACAAACAAAAAAAAATAAAAATAAAATAACGAAGCATACATCAGACACGTACCTCGTCCAGTAAAATTCAAACTCCGCATCTGTATCCGTATACTTCAACAAGCAATTGAATATATCTAGGAAATCTTTTTGATTTCTTAACCCCCTTTAATGTGCTTCTTTGAGTTCTCGTCAATATGCCATATACATAGCCGATGTCGTGAACTTGGAAAAACTTGAACAATTGCAGCAGCCATAGCAGCACATTGATCAGTCATTATGCTTTGTGGACTTTTGTAATCCATAGATCTCAAAAATGTCTTAAACAACCATACAAATAACTCAATCTTCTCATTCATCAAAAAACCGCATCCAAACATAACATTCATGCAATGGTTATTCATGCCAACAAAAGGTCCACAAATCATGTCATATTTGTTAGTACGATATGTTGTATCGTGAACTAGCAAATCCCCGAACAAATCATAGTATCTCCTCATCCATCCATCCCTCCAAAAAAAACTACACAACCTTGACTCCAAATCCACCTCAAAATCAAAGTAAAAATCCCTTTCACTTGACTGCCTCCGTTTGAATATTTCAATCAATGTGTTTGAATCGGTACTATCCAATTTGTTCAATGCATCGGTACATAGAGAATTATATGCATCCCCACTTGTAAACCCAACAAGTGGTGATCCCCCTGATTGTGTTTTAAGTAATCTTACACCATCTGCAACAGACACACCACTGCTCTTCAAATCAGTAAGATATGATATATGATTCCTAGACACCATCCTATGTGACCTTAGAAGGTAACTCTTGCTTGGTGGAACCAATTCATGATTATGCAACTTCTCATGCTTCGAAACAATCCACATCCCATTCTCATGTAAATCGAATTGGACAAATGCACCACAACCTGTACGACCATCAATTTTAGAATAACACCCTTTTCCTGTACTCCTTTTAAAACCATCTTTCGAACAATGGAACATCTTCGTTTTCATTGTTTTTGTAGCAGAACTATATCTTTGCTTACCCCTCCTCACGCTAAAACCTACTCTAAAGGCATAATCATTATACATGTCATATGCTTCATCAACCGAACACACTGACATCCCTACCAAATCCTGATCAGTTGCAAATAACATACATTTTAACTACCCATACTGTTAATGTACATAATCCATATCTACAATACACATAAACATATGGCACAATACACATAATCATTAAAATACATAAAACCTATATCGCATACTGTTAATGTACATAATCCATAACTACAATACACATACACATATGGCACAATCACATAATCATAAAACCAAACAAATCAAACCATATAATACACGTACAACCTCACTGAAACAACAACTTCAAATCAAACCATACTAACATCCAAAACAACCACAATCAAACAGAAATTCTATATCAATTCTTATATAATTCAACACCGAGTTCAATATATTCATCATACATCAAACACAAATACAAAATAAAATCTTAAAAATCAAATACCTGGATTAGCATCCTCTGTATCTACCACTCCAACAGGATCAGTTGTATGCTCTGTCTCCGCCACATCCTGCTGTGCAATCGAATCAGACATGGCTTCCATCCAACAATTGCAAAATACGACGCAAATCGAACAATCAGGTAGCTCTCGTGTTCTCTAATCCAATATGCATGATCGGCGCGACGACATCATGTCTTTAGAGCCGCTCTCTCACTTCCCTCTTCTTACCGTTTGACGGCGTTAACAGACTAATAAAAAAAAATCCGTTACATAACAATTCCATACGGCGTCGTTTTGATGCTGGGCGTACATGGCTCTATACACCGGGGTGTATGGTATAAATTGCCGAGCAACATAAGCTCTCTGAGGCTGCAATTAAGGGAGAAGCAGGAGCTTTGGCAGGACTACTGAATAAGGGGATCTCATTTGCGGATATAATAGCGGGTAAGCCTTCCACTTCTAATTTTCATTGAATAGCGAATGAATGTGTTAACTCATACTGCTCATAGTGTGCACCAATTGATTGTATAAATCAAATGGGAATGTGGGCGTACCATTGACTGAATCTACAAAACCTAGCAATAATAATTCATACCTGCAAACTGTTTGTGAAAATGTCAAGGTGAATTCTACAAATAATTTGGTCAGGGAAGGGAAGATGCTACAATTAACAAAGAAGCATGTGCTGAAAAAAAAACACATTTCTGCAAATAGAGGTATGCATACGTGATTTCAATGCTTAATTCAACTTATATGTTATACTTATTTCAATTATGGTTGTTACCTCTTATTGAAATCTTCTTTATCATTTTACCATTTGTATGCTGAAAAAATTTTCAAACATAGAATAGATTGTGTTTATTTATTATACTTTGAAATGTTGTAGGAGAAAAATATTCATAGAATGCAAGTTTCACACAATCAAGAAGAACAATCCTGTCTTCCCAGATAAGTAAGCTGATGGGAGTAATATGAGGACAAGTTCGAAAGGCAGAATGTACACCAACAGTGGCCAGATAAGAAGTTTTTTAAATTATCTAAATTAGTTCTTATCTAATCCAAGTGTAGATTAGATCTATACTGTATTTTATATATTAGCAAGCAAATTGATGTGGAATACAAATAAAGTTTGTAAAGAAACAGGTAAATTACAAATACAAATATTTCATGAGTGATAGAATTAACACTTAAAATCACATTTGAGCAACCAATTTGTAAAAAGAAACACCTACTACATGAATCTTTAAATGTTAAATCACACATACCTAGTGTGAAACACCTACTCCCAATTGTGGATGAATCTGTTCCTTCTTCCATCTCTAAGCTGGGGATGTAGTTCAAAAACCAATTTAGAAATTCGTAGGATATGTGTCAATATATCAATATATAGTAGTAAAAACAAAAAATAAAAAAGAAAGCCAACTGCGATTCTAAAATGAATCATCTAGAATCGCACAAATCTCTCGGAAAACAACTATGAACTACAATCAAAGTTAAAAATCATGGAATGGAGAAGCTAATACTAATTTAAAGTCTCAGATTTGATGATATATCAAACATGCATCTATCTATTTTGAAGATATGAGGAAAATGTAGTTTAAATCACACATGCGATTAGAAAAAACCCAAGATTTATAGACAATCAGAAATTCTTAACTGTTTAGATATTAAGGACCTAAATTAAGCACAGATCTGGAAATGTAATTGCTGGTATAAATATTAGGAAAATGTAGTTTAAATCACACATGCGATTAGAAAAAACCAAAGATTTATAGACAACAGGATAACCCTCTAGATATTGAGGACCTAAATTAAACACAGATCTGGAAATGTAATCGTTGGCATAGATATGAGGAAAATGTAGTTTAAATCACACATGCAATTAGAAAAAACCCAAGATTTATAGACAATAAAAAATTCTTAACTGTTTAGAAATTAAGGATCTAAATTAAACATAGATCTGGAAATGTAATTACTGGCATATGTAGTAGGTAATGATTAAAATAGGTTTAATCAAACTTAGCTTTTAGATTCCGAGCATGGTGAGTATCTGTTCTCCCAGGTTCTGTATTGATGCAGTTTTCTTGAATTTCTTCTTGATTGAGAGAACTCATACTAACTATAAAGAGTACCAATATATGAGAATGTAAAAACAAGCCTTGATCCATCTATAGAACATGTCCAGCTGACAGAGATCAAATTGAACCAAGTTTCTGATCTCAGTTGCAGAGGAGAACATTGGCGAGCTAAGGAAGACGACTCAAATAATTAGAGGAGAAGAATCTTGAAAATTGAAATAGATATCTAACTCTACACTTTATACTTACAAGAAACAGTAATTACTTAAGAAGAGAATGTAGTCACATACTATGTCAAAAGTATGTAGGGAGCAAAATTATAAAGTGTCATCAAGTCTATAATAGTATATATTATACTGTGAAAGAAAAGATGAGGTACCATATTGATATCAGCAACCCAGTCTGTAATAGTGTGTACTGTGAATGTAAAAGTAGAAACTTGGAAAAACAAATTGTGCAAAGTTTACATCAACTTAAATTTCAAAATACATGTGTGATAAATAAACAGATCAATACATCCTACTACTACTCAGTGTTCCGTACGCATGCTGTGCTCTTCAGCATAGACAACTTAGGGAATATTCTGTATATAAAATCAGAATTTGGCAGTATCATTTAAAAAAAACTACAAAGGGATGTTACTCTGAACTGCATGACACACAGTAAGCACTTAAATACTGAGTAGAATAATAGTATGAACTATGTTGCAAAGGTAGAAATCAAAATGGTAGTGTGTCATAAAGACTCTAATAGTATATCTTCAAAGTACAAACAATAGAAATTGAAACAAAAACTACAGTTTTCTACTTGCAATTCAATCGTTCTGAGATGGATAAGTGATTGGATAGTAGCAACCCAGGCTCATTGTGATTGGGGTACATGAACTTCAATTTAAAGATACACGTGATAATTTCAAAGATCCATATTCAGACTCCTACTCAGTGTTAGGTAAGCATTCTGCGGTCCATAGTAGAGAACTTAATAAGTATTCTGTATATAGCATCAAAAGTAAATTTCATCATTTGCAAAAACTAGGATGTGATGTTAGTAAATAAGCAGGACACACAACAGACAAAACATACAAGTATCACATATATAAAGTAGATGTGAAACACTATGCAATTAGATGTGCGACAAAAGAAAGTACAAGTAGATAAAATTTAACCTGATAATTCAACTTGGATAAATTTCAATCATGCACATTAAAGGTGGGACAAAACTTTTAGTATCATACTATCATTACTAAGAAAGTCTAATGCTATGAGCAATTCCACCAAGAAATTGAAAGTATTTTGTAGGTAATCGGAGTATAAAACGGCCACTCCAGCAAATACACCTCCAAATAGTGAACATACCCACCTTTGTAAGAAATTCATACACAAAAATGATCTGCATGTGCTTTCCAAGTCACTATTTCCAAAGATCCATACTCTAAGAGGACTTGGGATGTATTGATCATGTAGAAATCAAGCTTAAACTGTTAGGGTTGCCTGTATCTAATAAAATTAGGATGATTTGTTTCATAGAATATAAATTAATAGAATGATATAGTATAAAACTTACCTTGGCTGCAAGATTCAACTTAGAAATTTCAGGAAACTGCTACAATCTACACATCTAAAATAGGGCTTGAAAAACCACGAAAACTATGATATACGACCATATGCCTCTTGCGATTGACAAGAATCGCAAGCGAGCTGTGTGGTATGGAGTAGGATTCGAGCTAAAATGGTGGAGTTTCAGAGTGACGAAACAGAAAGCGCAGAGACGATGAAGGTAAAGTGAACCTTCTGGAAATGGAACCGATGGATTGACAGAGATAGAGCACGGTGACAATTGTATTTTAAAATATTATTAATATTAATAATTAAGACACAGTTTCCAAATACATCAAAACCAACTATATATATGTACTCCAAAATCAAGAGTTGCAGTTCCAAGTGACTCTAACATAATTAAAATACTATGAGCAAAATGCCTATATGGAGTTTAATTTTTGAAATTATATGGAGCAGAAAATAAGCTCAGATTTGGTAATGGAGAAACCATACCGCCATGGCTGCAGACCGGGAGTTTGCCCCGGGTCGGGTCCCTCCATCCCGATGAACTGTAGAAAAATCATCATCAACCCAGCCTACATAACCAATAATAATAGCTGAAACAACAACAACACAAACATGAACAGGAAACAGTTGATCCGAAGGTTCAAGCCGAATCTAACGTGGATAATTTCACTGCAAACCCGAGGTTTAATTAGATCATCAATGGCTGCCCATAAGATAAGCCGTAAAAATTCATAGCTTTGGAGTTGATGAATGGTGAATACGATCATTGTATGAGAGAACTAAACTAAATCTATTAAAAATATATATAGATTCAAGATGAGATGAAGGAGTTTACAGTGGACTATCCAGATTCGAATGCATGCAATTATCCCCTTAAACCAGAAAATTTTTCAATTTGAGAAAAATATTACCAATTTTATGACCATCAGAACAGACCCATATATCAAACGAACCTGCGTCTTGAATTTTCCAGATTTGGTAGGCCATATTCATCTTCTTCAATCTAATATACCTGACAAAACCACTCAGACAGTTGGAATTTCTGGATTGCTTCTCAGAGATTAGCTAGGAAAGAACCCTAACTTAAAAAAAAAAAAAAAAAGAAAAAAAAAAAAGAAAAAAAAAAGCAGTAGAGGTAGATCTCCAATGGAAAATATGTAGTGTGTAAATCACTAAACTTAGCTTAATATTGTGAGGAGTGTCTAGAGAGTTCTTAGTTTGTGAGCTTAAGAGAGGCGAGATGCAGAGGTGCAGTGAGTGAGAGTGAAGATGATTCTAGAAAGAATTAATTTCACTTTTGGTCCACGACTTTAGAGGATCTATCACTTTTGGTGCACAACTTTAAAAGTTTTCAATTTTGGTGCCTAACTTTGTTGTTTTTATCAATTTTGGTCCTTTCAACCAAATTGACGACGAAATATTGCCGGATTTTATATTTTTAGGGGTAAAATCGTCATCCTAAGGAAACATCTTCAATATCTAAACAAAATCACTCTAAAATCATATCTATAGGTGTTTGATCGATGAGAATAATTGGAGAAGACGGACAGAAACTAGACACAGATCTATGAGATTTATAGCATCGACGATTGCCAAACTCTTATATTTCTCTTAACATGATTTTTCTTTTGTTTAGATATTGAATATTTTTCTTTGGGATGACGATTTTGCCCCTAAAATGTAAAATTCGGCAATATTTCGCCTGTCAATTTGGTCGAAAGGACCAAAATTGATAAAAACAACAAAATTAGACACCAAAATTGAAAAAATTTAAAGTTGTGCATCAAAAATGATAGAACCTCTAAAGTCGTCGGACCAAAAGTGAAATTAGTTCATTCTGAAAACTAAGCTATTAGTTCTGATTAGTATCTTATATTGTACTTTAATTGTGAAATTGAATTTCAATATAAAATTCAAATATTCCAATTTAATAATATTGCAATATTACAAATTTTAATAATTTGTAATATTAATTTTAATTAGTTTGTAATTTACGCTCAGATTCCATATATGTTTGTGTATAGATATTTAATTGTATATGGTTTTAGGCAAATTATGTTGTGCAACTGTGTGCATTAATGCATGGTACATACGGAATTGGATCCATAATTTTTCTACTATAAATCCATACTTTTTATATTATAGATTCATAATTTCTATATTATAAATTCATAATTTTTGAACTCTATATTCACAATTACAGAACTCTATGTTCATAATTTTCAATATTTATATTCTCAATTGTTGAACTCTGTATTCACAAATCACTGAACTATATGTTCATAATTTGATAACTATACAGTATAGAAATTATGAATCTATAGTATAGAAATTATGAATCTATAGTATGGAAATTATGAATTTATAGTTTAGAACTATGAATCTACAGTATAGAAATTATGGATCTATAGTATAGAAATTATGGATCTATAGTATAAATTTTTGCAATTGATTACTTTTATGAAAATCAAATTTAATATAAAAACTACTAAACTTTTATTACTGTATAAGTCATATCCGTGCATCGCACATGTACAATAATCAAGTAGTACTCTATCTAACGTTAAGCGTTTTTATATAATTTAAATTTATTATAAGCCCGCAGAAGTTAAATACACACAATCTTTGTCTTTGCGTGCTTCTGATGGCGGCACCGCGGGGGCGCCGCGCCCCTCACCGCACTTTTGCTGATATTCTATCGAAATCATCTGAATCCTCGCCTCTCCGGCCGCCGAGGCGTTATAAGGGTATGCCCGCGGTCTCCTTCTCAGACGACGACGTACAACAATTCTCTGAGAAGTTTCGTTTTGCACTAGTAGGCAAATTCGCAAAAGTCGCCCGCCGATGGCTGATCTTCGCAGACTTTTGACCAAATTGGCTTTGGTGGCGCCTTCACTCTAGGCCTGATCGATCAGAGGCACATTCTGATAAACTTTGATCATGAGATCGATTTCCAGCGCTGCTGGCTTCGAAAGACATGGTCGATCAAGGGATCCCTCATGCGAGTCTTTCGCTGGACGCCAGATTTTCGCCCGGATGTTGAGTCTCCCATTATTCCTGTTTGGCTAGCGTTGGAAGGCTTGCCGGCTCATCTCCACGACAAGCGGGCCATTTACTCGATTGCTAATCTGGTGGGCAACCCCCTTAAAGTCGACACCTCCACCTTAGTACCTAACCGCCCGTCGGTAGCTAGGGTGTGTGTGGAGCTCAACGTAAGTTTACTCGTCGAACAAGTCTGGATCAATAATGGCTCTTACGGAGGTTTTACGCAGAGGATAGTCCATGAATTTGTACCACCATATTGCTTGGGGTGCCGAAAATTTGGGCATCAGGACTCAGAATGCCGTTCTCAATCTTCAATTCATCGTGATGCTCCCACTGGCCATCAGAATGAACCAGCGCCCCTCAAACAGCCGCATATTGTCCCTCCGAGAAAAAGATGGCGTCTAGTAAATCATTCAGCATACAATGCGCTTCGACCGACAGGTGGTCGCTGTCTTTCCGCCTCCTGTATCTGGGGCGGGGGCTGCCTTCAAAAGTGTCTATTTTCATGTGGAGATTGCTACGCCGTTTGCTGCCGTTTCCAGATACTCTACAGCGGTTTGGTTTTTCAATGCCCTCGGTATGCCCATTTTGCCGGAGGGATTCTGCCAGTCTAGATCACTGCCCTCTCAGTTGTGCTAGCGTACAAGATGTCTGGATTTATTTTGCTGATATTTTTGCATTGTCGAGGGCCGTTGCCAGCTCGATACGTTCGCAGTGTCACTCATGGTGGTTATTGGCTCCAGCCAGATCTGCTACAATGTTTTATGCGCAACTGCTCCCCTGCCTCATCTTATGGTTCCTATGGAAGGCCTACAATGTCTGCCTTCACGAGGGTACTGCTTTTCACCAGCCGGCTCCATTCACATGATTAAGAGGGAGGCCTTTTTTAATATCTCTGTCTCACCCGATTAAAAAGCAATGTGACTTCTTGTATCGCTGGGTCTTTACGCCGGCTTGTGCCCGCTGCAGCGTACAACATTTGGGTGAAAATGCTTCAC